TCCTCTCCAGAGCTCGTGGTGAAGCGGTGGCTTTCTGAAGACGCGCTGGGGAATTCCACCAGTTTCAGCAAAGCTGCGGACCGTGGGGGCACTGACTCAAATAAGGAGCCTGTTAGAGAGTCTGTGGTTCCAAGGGCCTGTCAGGCTGGTCCCTGAGGACAGCCCCACCTGCCCAAGGTGGGCGTTAGGGTGGAGAGGCCCCCGTGGGCTTCACATCTGGGAATGTTTTTGTGACCGGTAAAGGGCAAAGCAGCCTGTCAGAAACATTAGGAAGAGCTCAGAGTTTACGTTTGTGGTGAAGCGCTTCACAGACAGACTTCCACTTCACATGCTTTGATGGGGGAAAATTACCCGTTGAAAAATATGTTTTTTTAATAGAAATGCCTTTTAAAGATTATGTGATAACCCATTGTTCTATTTTCCTGCTGAATCCATCTGTCCTACACATGTGGGCTGCAGAACTCGGCCGTAAAACTTAAACCGAGCATAATTTTATAGCCGCAATTAAAAGTCTAAAGGTTTGTGCATCACCGCGCTGACTGGCGTCGACCTGCAGCGAGTGGTTTCGGGTCGACACGTGCGTGCGTGTGAGAGGATGTGGACTCTATTTAAGGCACGCGCTGGGTCACACCTGCAGTGTAAACCGTATCTGAGACGCGGATGCGGCTTACTCTCGTGTCACAGAGTTGCTCTGGGATCTTTTGGTTGTTGTTGTTGTTATTCAGGAAGTATCTCATCATCTGAAACAATCTAATTCTGTATTAATGAAGAAATACGCAGTGAGTCCCTAACGTGCGTGCCGTGGCCAGCTTGGCCCTGTGGGAAGGATATTTGCAGGGGAGTTTGGACTCCACCACGGAGAGGCCGGGCTGGTTTGGGGGATAAGCCCAGAAAAGGCCGCAGGAGCCCCATGCAGGACATGCGACAAGAGTGCAGTCCAGCCGGCGCTTGCCTGACGGGCTCGGAGAGCAAAGGGGCCCCATGGGCGGCGATGGCCGATGGCCCAGGGAGAGCAGAGGACTGTGAAGGCCGGAAGCGGGCCTGGAGCCGAGATGCGGAGCTGTGCGCGGTGGAAGGACACGCACCGGAACGTCCACGAGGGCTGCTTCGGTGGCAGGGACAGCAGACCCAAACCGAACTGGCATCGGCCAAGAGGAAGTCTGTTGTTGCTGAAAATGGGGGCGGTCCCAAGGTCGGGCCGGGGGTTCATGACCGGCAGACTCAGCGGGTGGCCGGAGCCTGTTCCTTCACATCCCCGCACTCCGCCTCCCCGGGGTGTGGGCTCTTGTTTGCGGGTTCGAGTGGCACCAGGACATGGGAAGCAGCCCTCGGCCCGTCATCCTCCCCAAGGCAGGATCCACTCTAAGCAGGAAGTTTCAGCAGAAGCCCCCCGCATGCTGTTCACGGGGTTGGGGCCTGCCCTGCCGGTCCCGGGTGCTAAGGAACCAACGCAGGGAGCTCCGGTTTGCTTCTGGGTCCCCGCCACCCGTCCCCGTCTCAGAGACCGGCAGAGGGTCACCTTCACTGGAGCTGCAGAGAACGGTGCGGGGGAGGGTGTCCAAAGAGAAGCCGGGGCACAGCCACGCTAGACGGAGTAACTGGCCGCTGTGCAAGCCAATCCGATGGGCCACGCTGAGCCTGCTGGTGTGACGGGTTGTTCTGAGTAAGAACAGGAACTGGACACAGGACGTGTTTATCGTGAGCAGGTTGGGACTCGGGCCAAGGACTTGGACTTGGAGGAATTGTGAATAAGCCAGACCTGAGGTTAATGGATCCATCTGTCAGCTGCGTGGAGGAGGGACCGGCGGGCTGGTGCCTGTGTGGGAAGCACTGTGACCTCTCTTGCACATCCCTCGATTTCCAAAGCCACCACCTTCGCCACCGTCACAGTGTCTGTAGCGTGTGGTGAGCCGTGCAGAGCACAGGGGGTGTGTACCTGCCCGGACCTTGCCCTCCACGGCAGCTTCAGTGCGGCAGGGGAGACGGTGATGGAACAGTCAGGACGCACAGGGGTGACAGCAGCAGGCTTCGGGGACACAGGGAGGGAAGAAGTTTTAAAATGGACCACAGTGCACGGAGCCAGAAGCAGAAAGAAGAGGCCTGGGGACCGAGGGGTCTGCCGGGACGTCCTGGAGAGCAACTCCACCTGCGCTGGGTAGCGCTGGGGGACACGGCGGGGGCCTGGGTGGCCGGGAGACTGCCTCTCTGCTCTCCCGCCCAGGCCTCCCCCAAAGCCCACCGCTCCAGAACAGGACTGGACACACAGTGGGCCCTGGCTTGCAGACCCCAACAGGGATCTCGGGCCATTGGCAGGGGAAAGCCCGGTCTCGTGGGCTTGGACGCTGCCCATGGTGTCTTCCCTGCGGCGCAGTCCGGCTGGGGACAGAGCCGGAGGGAGCCGGTGTGCAGGTCTCTGATGATGAACTCCGGGTCAGGTGACCTCAGAGTGAATGGGAAAAGGTTGCTTGGGCCTAATGCAGGGACGAGATGCAGGGAAGTCCCTCCTGGTGCCTGCACCTGAGCCGCCCAACTGGGAAAGGCAGAGTGTGGACAAAGAACGCCCGACAAGCTCTCCACGCTGAGCATCTGTAAGCCCCACAGGAACCACCCTCCTGCCTTGGTTCCCCAGCACGGGGTTCTGCCATGATCCATTTCCAAAAACAACTGTCAAGAAGTCCCTGGTGCCCCCGCGCATGTGAAAGCCCCAGGCGTGTGTGAGCCCGGGGTCCCCTCTGGCGTGAGCACCGACCCAGCTGCTAACCACAGAAACTGGCGGGGGAGGTGAGAAGTGGCCGCTGATCAGGGACAGGGCAGGGGGACAAGGATGGAAGGGCGCAGGGTTGCCCTGGTAGGGACGTGGGAAGGTGACGGGCACCGGGGCCATGGGCATGGCCTCAGCCCTGTCCCCCGCTTCTGTGTGGACGGGGTTACGGTCCCCGTGGGGACCTGGCCTGTTTCTGTGGCCGCAGCCCCGAGGGTGGCTCGTGTTGCTGAGTAGATTATGGGAGAGGAGGTAACCATGGAGACGGATGGGGCCAGTGAGACTGGGGAGAAGCATCTGAGATGAGTTCTAGTGTGGGCTTTGCCTTGCCTTTTTCTCTCTGGCCTGCGGTTCCTTCATTTTAAAACAATACCTTAAATCGAATTGTAAAGAACAGAAACTCTTCCTGCCTACTTGGGGATCCTTACTCCGTAGGAAGCCTTTGCACACCCCTCTTTCCCTCCGGCCCATTGGGAGGGAGGGCGGGGGGCCTGCGCCTCCTTCAACTGAGAACCAAGCGTTCACTCAGCCCAGGACGGGCAGAGCAGCACCCGAAGCCCTGGCTGCAAACCCCTTCCCTTCCCCACCCCGAGGCCGGGGGCTTTCTTCTTTCTCAGGAAGGTAGAAATAGAATTATTTTTTTATGAGGAAGAGAAGAGTTTATGTTACTCTCAAATCAACTACAGAATGGTTTTTATGTCAGAGCAAATGCACGTCTGTTCTTTGACGAACACTCACACTCGCACGAACAGAACATTTTTAGTGCGCTCTGAAAGCAGAACGCCACATGTTGTGGCTTTACGGTGTTTTAAATAAAGTTAGGAATTTGGGTTTATGATGCCGAGGATAATGTAAAACCAGTGGGTCTCAGACCAAGAACTACCTCCTCCGTGAGGGTCCTGAAACCTTTGACGAGTGGGAAAATGAGACAGACATTTCAACAGGCCCGTATTGAACCACGGTGGGGACAGGTGAGCGAAGGGGGGTGAGCTACTCACGTTTCCCTGCCTGTCGAGTCTGTAGCAGTGCTGTTCCGGTTGTGAATGGTGTTCACGGCCGCCCGGCTGAGCCGATCAGAGCCATTTGCCTGCCGGTCCCTCCACCGCCTCTCTCGGGTCTTTATTGCTTCATTTGGGAGCTTTCACGGGCCTGCCCCTGAGTTCGCGCTGGTCTCTTGCTATGCCGCGGCGGCGCTGTGAGGGGCCGGGTTTCCACTTTGTTCTCCAAACCAGGCCAGCTATAAATTTATCTCTGTTCTTTGAAGAAGCTAATAGTAAATTTTCCAGAGGAAAAATGGTGGCCGACGTCCCTGTGGAGGAAGAGTAATCTCTTAAGAGCGGAATCACCCCCAGGCTACCTCCTTTTAAAGAGGGGCCTTCAAGCCAGGACGCCGTCAACTTTTATACACTCTCTGTGTTTTTCTTCAGGCTTTGTACCTGCTGCCGCGCCCCCGGGTTGGGCTTTTCCCTAACAGCCTGTCCCTCCCACACCCACTAAACCCATAACTAGGGTGCAGAGTCCTGGCTGGAGAGCACACCCAGGGATAAACGGGGTGGGGGAGGAGTAAGGCACCTACATGTAGAACCCGGTCTGCGTTGCATAAATGACCTCACACCACGAGTAAAAATGAACTTCGTAAAAAGCGAAATCCTTGGAAGGGGTCCCACTGGGTTTAATTGCACTCGGAGCCTTTTCCGTTGCCAGCATGGGCTTGGTGCAAATTGGGGCAATTCTTCCCGGCCTTGAGATAATGAGATGAGTGGACAGGAGGAGGCACTAACCTGGCAGGGGGGTCCGTGGCTCTGCTGCCTTGTCTGGCCACTCCCTCTCCCTGGACCCTCATTCTGGAGCTGCTTGAACTGGGTGTTCCCGAAGGAGGCCTGGTGTCCTCCCGAGTGGGGCACAGGCCTGGGCCCGTCCTCCAGGGCCCCCCACTGGCCTGGGGGCCCCGGAGGCAAGAGATGCAGAGGTGGGGGTCTGGGGGGTCTCAGAGGGGTGGGACCCACAACATCATCCATCCTGCCTGTGCCTGCGGGTGACATGACACGGGGGCTCCTCGGAGTCCACCTTGGGGAACCGAGAGCCCCCCAGCAGTGGGCAGCAAAAGCGAGCCGCCCCGGTCGGTGGCCAGGCTCACTTGGCCAGCCAGTGTCCCCGACCTCAGGCAGTTTCCAGAAGAGTGTCTGGTGCCACTTCCTGTGGCCTAATTGTCCTCTTTCTCATTTTATGCCCCTGCTAGACCACCGCTCTTGATAAGGAGAGGCAGGTTTTCCGACGAAGACGCCACCCGGATGTGAGGGGCCGGTACAAGGCACAGCCAGCTCCGCCCGAGCTCAACTCGGAGTCCGAAGACTACTCGCCCAGCTCCTCGGAGACCGTGCGCTCCCCCAACTCGCCCTTTTAACGAGCCCCCCGCACTCCAGGTCCTCGCTCAGCCCTCTGAGACTCGGAGATGTTTTCCCAAATTTATTTATGTACGACGGTTTCCCCCGATCTGTCCAGCCCTCCGTGCTCGAACGGCGGACGAGGAAGTGTGTTTTCTGGTGTCATCGCGACCTCCCCTGGCCCAGCCACGCGGGGTCCGGTGTTTGCGAAGACGGTCCCTTGCTGCTGCCCGGGTCCTCAGAGGGTGGAGGCGACTGGGCAACATTTTCAAACCTAAAATCGGTGACTTTCCCCCCAGTCAAGCTCGTGTGCGGCGAGCACACATTGACCCTCTGAGTGCGTGGGCTGCGTGGTTGCCCCCCCCCCGGGAGCCGCCCTGACCTTCGACGTAGACATGTGTGTCCTGACTTTGCCGCGGATCGGGAGTGGTTTTAGATGCTGGGATATCTGGACGAGAAAGGCCCCAGAGCGATGCCTTGCTTGTCCTTTTCCGTGGGTTTAGAACGTGGCAGGTTCCTGACTTAGGCATAAGCGCCCCCATTTCTTCTTCAGAATCCGGTTCAGAAAGGGACTTTCTCTGTTAGAGGTGCGGCTGTCGGCTGCTGTGAGTCCCGCAGCCCCACGGGGGACTGGGTCCGTGGCAAACGGCCTGCCCCCCAAGAGAAAATGGCGCCCCCTCCAACTCCCCCCATTAAGATGCACTGACGACGCCCCCGAAACGCTGCTTCCACCTCAGCTGCCGCCAGCGCAGACCCTCGCGGAGCCTCCACCGGCGGGGCTCGCGCTTGGTGAGGGAGGGTCTCGGTTTGGGACGTCTCCAGCAAAACAGAACAAAACAAAACAAAAAACCAACAACTGGTGGAAAAGAGCAATAAACTGCCAGGTGCTCTCTAGGGCTCGACTTCCACACGGAGAGGAAGTGAGGTCCTGGTGTCCCCTCGCCTGCCTTTTCACACCCTGCAGTCTCCAGCGAGAAATCCACCCCGAGCGTCAGAGGCGTACACGGGAGGCGGGGGCACGGGGGACGGGAGCCCCCCGGGGGCCTTGCAAGGTGGCCAAGGAGAAAGCCCAGTGAGAGAACGATCCAGAACGTTTCTAACGAGGCTGTAAGGGAACGAGCCACCGGCGAGGGTGCACCTTTATGTTGCCCGTGTAGACTCCCCCGGGGAGGAGCAGGAGGGGCGGCCAGGAAGGGTGCCTGCCTCTCGGGCTGCCACCTCCGTTCCCAAGGCCACCCGTCCACCGACCACCGCCTGTGGCTGTCCGGAGGCTCCTGCCGTCCTCGCCCCCCCCCCCCGCCGGTCGAGTCCTGTCTGAGACCTGAGTTGTCACTCCTGTTGCCGCCGAGTTTCTTCTGCACGGTCACTGCGATGCGTAGGGAGGAGGCGGGGTTCCGTGTGCTCGGCGCGTGACTCGGGAGTGACCGAGGAGTGACGTTCGTGCAGTTCGCGCCCGGTGGACGTGCGGCGCTTCCTGTCTCTGTTTCCAACACATCCGGCATCCGCAGGGCTCCGACCTGTCTCTGGTCAGGTTCTGGGCTCAAATCCACAGCGGCCCTCAGCGGCTGCTTTTTACTCCCCCGCTCCTGAACGATGGGCTCTCTCAATGCGGATTTCAAGATCCTAACACGTCCCGATTTTCACATCGTGTTTTTCTCGAGTGTCCGCTCTTCCACACGTAGGTTATTTCTCCGGTCTGCGTCGCCCCGGCAGGGAGACAGCAGGTTATTTATTGAGCGTTTCCCCCCTTGTAGAGCCCGAAACAGCACCACACGGCACCGCCGAGCAACGCAGCTCCGTCGGGCTTGGGGCTGGGACGCAGGCCGGGCAGGTGTGGAAAGCACCCACACCGGGCAAGCGCCCTGGCCCGGTCCGAGAGGACGGACGCTGTCTCCAGAACGAGGACTCGAAGCAGCGCTCTGCGTGACCCCGGAGGAGCTGGGCCACGTGCGTGGCCTGGACCCGGAAGGTGTGGGCGGGACGCATCCTGTGGGCAGGGACCTGCCCGCGGGGCATCGTCACTTTCCTTCCTTTCTCCGAATCGCTGCTTTCCTCGTGGGCATTACATGTATCGCTGCGGCATCCGGTGCACAGAACTTACGGCGTGTGGCTCTGGCTTTTCCCCTGCACGTCTTGGGACACTGGGGACCTCGTGAGGCTGTGGAGGGCCCCCCGGCTGCAGAGGGTGGTGCTGCAGGGTGCAGAGCCCGCCAGCATGGGGAGCCCAGCGCGTGGCTGTGGAAGGCGTGGCCCGTGCTGAGTCAGCAGTGGCGTGTGGCTGTCAAGTAGAAACACTGAGTGCCCGGATGGAAGGCCGTCTTTCAGCATCAAGCTCCCGGGTCCCCGAACACCAGGGACGCACTCGGAGGGTTGACTGACAAGCACAAGGCGTGCGGGTGACCTGGGCGTATCCAGACGTGTGGCCGTGGGCCAGTGCGTCCTCTCCTTTCACAACATTCTTGGGATAGTTCGAGGTCGAAATAATTAAGGGGTGGTGTTCTTTAAGGAATTCCTGTGACCAAATCAATCTTATTTCTTCTTTCCATTTTGTCATTGAATAAATATGTATCATGACGGCAGTGTATCTCTGTAATTATCGATTTAATCATTGCCGCACGCGTCGCCATATTTTTCTCGGTATTTAATCTTGTTCTTGCTGCGGTGGCCTGGTGGATGGGGCTGTCTTTCTTTTATTGACACAGGACTGACCATGTGGTACTTTCAAGGGAGTCTGAAGGTTCAACTGGCCCGTTCCGTGGTGGACTAGTGAAGAAAGAACCCTTTCATTCCTGGCTTCGCGTGCCTCACCTCTGTAGAGGAGGACTGTTCACATTGATAAGAGCTTTTCTTTCCCCCTGACGTTGTAGCCGAAACCCTTTTATCATCACAACCAATGCGTCTGTGCTTTGCTCCCCACCATTAGAAGGAAAAGCAAGATTTCAGTCACTGGAAATGTTTTCACAGTAGCCCTCGCCTAACTGACACACAGTGTGTATGAAAATAAGCAGAGAAAAATGCAAATAAACAGCTGAAAATTCTCGGTGTTTTGTATTCAGTGAGACTCGGGCGGGCTGCCCAGCACCAGCCGCCCTGCCCCTCGGCTTGCGGTTAACGGCCCCGTCAGGTACTGCTGAAAGAAAGCAATATATACATGAATGAAGGCTGAAATTGCGATCCTTTACCCTTTGAAGCATATTTCAGTTGGGGAGGAAAAAAAGAGGAAAGAAAAATTGGCTTCGCTTAGAGGGTCACGGAGCTACCGTCCGCCCGGAGCTCACGCACATTAACTCACAGCTGTTTGCCGGCCACGGGTGCCCGGCGACGGCTCTGTCCCCGTGCAGCGGCGGCTGTGCGGGAAGGGGTGCTTTCTCAACGTGACGGCGTTGCCTGGCAGCCCTTCTCAGGGTAAGACTGTTGAATTTCCGTGATAAACTATTTTCAAAGGTTTTTAATGTGACCATAAAAAAGGTGCCCCGGGCTGGTTGACTCTAGACTGAAGGTCTGACCCAGAGTGAAGGTTTATCACCTGCTGTTCTCTGCCCGGTTCTCCTGAGAAAAGAACAACCAGCCAACCAACCAACCAACCAAACAAAACCTGGCACAGCTTTGCCTGTATTGTAACTTCGGAATTTTGGGAAGCCCCAGGACCCAGGATGGCAGTTGAATGGGATTATTCATTTGTATGTGGGTTTCAAATAATTAAATTAGGAGCCACCTGGTATAGATTGTAGATAACGCCAGTTTTCTATGATTTGTAAATCATTACATTTTAAAATGCTACCTGATCTTTTCTGTCCAAGCAAAGGTTTTTAGAAGCTTGAAGGTGGTCAGTTCAGGGGTTAGCGTCCTGTGCGTGCTGACAGCCATGTGCGTCAGGCGTTGGGAGAAGCGCGTTCAGACAGACGCTTGCTTTGCCCGTCGTGAGGAAGGGGCAGGCACCTGCTGCTTTAGGAGACAGGGACACCCTTCTAAACCTACACATCAAGTTCCACGAAGCCAGTTCAAGTCTGTTGGGGGAAATGGCAATTAAAACTCCTCCCAAAAGTAACCATTTTTGGTCCATTCAGAGGTAGTAAGACACCTGCCGGTTAACACACTTCAAACGGTTTTTGTTTAAGAGCACATCTATCCATAACCCCTGAGGATGGTGTACTTTTAAAATGAGCTCAGCGGTGCTTGCCCACGAAGCAGGAGCACATGGGGTCCCGAGGACGGTCACCGTCACAGGGGTCTGGAGTTCGTATGTCACGGCGTCCTGGAGGCAGAGGGGACAGCCTCTGACGTGCTCGTGGCTAAACATACAGCCACACACTGCGTGACATGGAAGGCCCTAAACTGGTGGGAAGCAGGAAGTGCAGCCTGGAGGCTCCAGATGCCTTGGGTGGAGGTGGGGATCTCCCCCCCTCTGTTTTTGCTCGCCCTCCCCCACGGCCCCACTGTTGTTGGGGGGGGGGCTCCCACACTGAAACCGCCCCGATCAGTTTTCAGGGAGGGAGCGTCTCTTGGGCAGGTGTTTGATCGGGAGGCTCACAATCCCTCGCCCTTGGAGACCAGGGCGAGATCTCGTTTCTTCCCCTTTGTCCCGGAGGGAAAGTGAGGTCTGCCCTGAAACCAAACCCGCGACCTCAGCGCGCTTTTCCGGCCGACTGCAGCGAGACGCTTCGCGTCGCTTCCATGTAGAATTGTACATTTTCTGTCTGGGATGGACTTTGTTCATCGAGAGTCAGTAATGCTTCTAAAGCCTTCACTGTTGGTTTTAAGGGAACGTGGGGCTTTCAGAGGGATGCTAACGATGCGATCTCGTCCGCCCCTTCCCGCCCAGCTCACTGCGGTGAGAAAGAGGCCTGGACTGGTCCTCCGGGGGCAGTTTCTCACTTGCCATTGACATTAATCTTGGATGTATTCTCAGAAAAAAAAATAAAAAGAAATTGAAACCCGTCCAAGGTTAGAGTCATATCCTCGATAACTTTTAAAAATTTTTATGAAGAAATTAATAAGAGCCTTTTTCATTCTGGCTGAAAGAAAAACTATTCAAAGATTAGTTGAGTGTGAAATTAAATAGCATTTTGCTCACGGAAAAGGTGGGCCAGGGTCTCGGTGCATTTGAGCAAGTTTCTGAAAGGTTTCAATTTGGGGCAAGAAAAAAAGTCCAATATTTCCTTCGAAAAGACTGAATTTATCCATGGCTGCATGGATCAGGTGGCAGAGGTTAATTTTTGATTTTGAGGCTCTTAATGAAAGAACTTTCAAACGATTTGTATCCATGATTAAAGCTGGAATGAGATCCAATTTTCCCCCTAATCTCTCCGTTTAAGCTAATAAATGTAGGTTAATGTGGAATGAAGTCATCTGTGGTATATGATGTTCATTTATCAACTGCGCTTTTTTGATGTTGCCTGTTTTTATGTAAACCATGTCCTTCAAGTTAATAAAAGAATAGTACTCTGTGTATGAACTACTGCTACGTAACGCCCTCGCTGCGGCCCCCCTGCCCCCCCCCGGCCGGGAGGGGGTACGCTTTCCCTCCGGTCCAATCCATAACTGACACCGGCAGCCCACAGAGGAAGCGCCCAGCTGCGTTCCCGGGGAGCAGGCTTCTCTGCGCCAGGCTTTGCGAATTAGTCATGCGGTCAGAATGCAGCTTTCCCACATGTGCCCCAGAGCGGAGGGTCCGTTTCATGAGAATCGTCCAAAAACAGCTATTCCAAAAATGTCCCTTTTCCTCTATTACCATCACGCCCAGGCCCGGGACTTGGAGAAACCCAGAGAAAGAAAACAGCTCAGCCCAGCTTATCCTGCGACCTCTGCACAGCAGGTCTCCAGAGAAGGGGGTGCTGTACCCCTGACCTGGAATTGGCTACCGTGGTTACACCGATTTCCCATCAGGCGTTGTGTGGGCAGGCTTGGCCTTAGAGAAATTTGCAGTGCGGTACCATGAGTCCAGCCCTGTCTCTGTGACTTTTCCAATGCCAGGAGGTTGAAAAGGCAGCCGCCAAGAGTGATGGCCAGTCTCCTAGTGTCCTGTAGGTGCCAGTATATCTCCCAGTGCCCATAAAATCTGCAGTCCCCTGTCCCCGCAGTGTCCCGCTGCTGCCTCGGGCTGGATTCGCCCCGGCTCCCGGTGGTGAGGGCCAGGGGTCCTTTCCAGACTCCAGGGGCAACTGCTGGGGCACAGCAGCCCGAGGGTTCACCCCCGTGGCCTGTTGCCTGGCTTCAGGAGCTCTGACAGCTTGTCCAGAAACCTGCCCCCCAAAACATGGGTCCTGACATGTGGACCAACCCTGGGACCAAAGGGGACGAGAAGTGGGGAAACTCCTGCCTCAGGAGGAAATTAGGGAGGAAGGGGTCCCCCAACTCCGATGGCTGGTGGTCGGAGGGGTGGGATTTGTCCCATCCAGTTGAGGAAGGAAGTGAATGGGACAAAGCAACGGGGCAAGGGGCACCCTGGGAAATGTCTCAGAGCGTCTCCTCGAACGGAATAGAAAGCTGTGCTCTAACTTAAGACGGTGGCTGTTTCTCCAAGCGCCAGGAGGGGCACCGGGGGAAGACGGGGACCCCGCCCAGCCAGCTGGACCAGCCAAGTCCGTGCTGGCCATCCGCACGGTGACAGATGTCCCTGCCAGCTTGTCTGCACATTCAAATCATTCATTCAAACGTCTCTTGAGTGAGTGCCAGTGACACGCAAGAAGATGCGTTTGGGCTGTGGAAGGAGCAGGGACCTCCACTGTCCATTTGTATCTTCGCTGTGATCGGAGGCTTTGAGGTCGGGGTGGCGGGCCTCCCGCTGGGTGGTGTGCAGGCTCCTCGGAGGCGTTTGGTCCAGAAACACAGAACCCACCGCCAGGGCGACCGCGCGGCCAGCAGCGTGGACACTCTCCCGGGAGGGCGGGCGGCTGCCATCTGCCCGTGCGGCGCGCACGCTGGAGCTCTTGGCTCGGCTCCGGGCCTCGGACGCACGAGGCCTCCCTGCCATCTGTAATTAGCCCGAGACTTCCAGCGGCGTCACAGCGGTTTGCCGAGCTACGTCCATTTGTTCCGCAAGCATCACCGAGGACCCACTGTGAGCTGTGTGCCGGGGGTGGGGGGGTTTGGGAAGGAGATACAGTCGCTGTTCTTCCGAGTCGTGGGGTGGGGGGGCCACGCCTCAGCACCCACGGTTCTGTGTGGGCCGTCAGCGTGCAGGCTGCCCGCCATGTGCACACACCTCGGTGGCCATTTCAGGGAGGGCACCCGCTGGTTCGGTCTGGGACTCCCCCTCGCCTGGTGAAAGCAGCTGTCACCATGGTAACAGAGTCTCCAACCCGCCCAGGGGTCCTTTACAAGGGAGGGTGAAGACCAGACAGCCCGGGCAACAGACCCGCCGGGAGGACCTGTACCCACTGTGGAGCCTCGGGTCTCTCTGGCGCCCGCTGACCAGAGCCCCTGGGAGCCCCTCTTAACCGGAGCCCAAAAGGCAGCCACCAGGTCCTTAGCAGCAGAGGATGATGCCCCGGGCCCACGGTCACTCCCATCAGTCAGTCAGGACCCACCAACTCTGCTCTATCCCTGCCGCGCGGACAGGGCATTTCTAGGTGACAGAGAGGCCAGGGTCTCGCGGCCTCTGACCGCCCCCAGGGCCCAGCTCCGCTGGTCTGTTTCAGCAAAAACAGGCACGTGAACCCGGGCTGGTGACATTGAGGCCTCCCCGCCACGCGCCATGTGGGCTCTCTGCCATAAAGTCCAGGGTCGCCTCTCCTTCATGTGTCCCTAGGGCCTCCAGGCGCCCTCTGCCTTGACCCCCACGTGCCTGCTCCAGTCCGGATGCTGTGGAGTCATTTCCAGGCAGGTGGGCTTTCAGGACAGGAGCACGTGACCCCGTGGGGGGCGGAGACCCTCTGGAGGAAGCCAAGCCCAGGTGATGGAGGCTGTCGGCCGTTTGGGTCCTGAATCCGGCAACCTGCCATGAACCCGTGTGAGCCAGGGGCAGTGAGGGACCGGGCGGATCTTGTCCCAAAGCCCCCTGCCCCCCGCCCGGAAGCTGGACTTGAAGAGCTGGGACTGGCAGCCCCAGCCCTGCCTGCGGGGGCTTCCACCCTGCTTCCCAGGGCCCGCATCGGGGGCGGGGTGTTGTGACGGGGTCCCCATGGAGCAACCATGGAGTGATGTGTGTGTGTGTATGCGCTGCATGTAGGTATGTGTGTGTCACGTGTGTGGTGTGTATACATGTGTATGGTGTGTACCTGTGCCGTGTGCATGTGCATAAGTGTGAATGTGTGTAGGCGCTAATATAGGCATGTGTATGTGAGGTGCATACGGCTGTGTGCAAGTGCATGGGTGCATGTGCTGGGTCACATGTGTGCTGTGTGTCCACTGGTGCATGTGTACATGTGTGCACATGTGACCATGCAGGCACACATGCACATGTGTCGTGTGCATTGGGCACGTGTGTGCAGCCATGTGCAGTGTGTGGCGCCCTGTGTGTCATGCACATGCATGTGTGATGTGTGTGCTGTGTGTGCATGTACATGCATGTGATATGTGCAGGTATGAACAAGCGCTGTGTGTACTCATGTGTACGGGGGTACTGTGCGCACGCAGAGCCTGCACCACACAGAGCAGTGGGCGCCCTGCCGGCGCAGCCTCACCACCCCCCCGGTGCGTGCTGCCCTCGCCCACGGAGACCCCTCCCACTCCCACAGCACGGCTCCCAGCAGTCCGGGACACACAGGCTGGGCCGGGGCTCCCTTCACTCCCCACACGCCCCGCTTCCTCCCAGACCCGAGCAGCGAGGCCGCTGCAGGGCCCTAGGTCTGAGGGGTTGCCTCGGGTCAGTGAGCAGCAGTAGGGTGCAGTCGGGTCCTGAATGGGGGCGCCCCCACCGGGGTCCCAGGCAGGTCTCCTTGTCAGTTGCCTGGGACAAGCTTGGGTCCTCTGTACCAGGACCTACAGAGAAAGGCCGCCTGTGGGCCACGGGAGCCCTAAAAATGTTCACGTGTGAAATCAGCGGACATTATTGTCCCTGCGCCCGCAGACCCCGCTCCACCGGTTAGCCGGCTGCGCTGCAATGTCCACTGTCTTCCTGCCTGTCCGGGCGCTGCAGTCGGGCTGCCCAGGGCGCTCAGTGCCCGGCTGTGCCCCTCAGCTTCCGGGGAAGCATGTTCTCCTCCATGAGGATCCAGCGGCACCTGAACGCCAAGCGAAAACTGGGTTTTTCGAGCCGAAAGTCCCAGGATCACAACTGTTTCCCTCCAACGCTGTCCTTCTGCCAGAGGGCTCCCCCTGAGTGGGTGCCAGGCACCAGGCAGCTGGCCACATAGGCTCTCTGGGGACCCCAGGCCGGGGCCACAGATCGCCAACAGGTAGGGGCGCTGCTGTGGCTTTGGTGCCACCAGGGAACGTGCGCCCGTCTTTGCGTGAGCTCAGCTGCCCTGTGTCCGCTCAGGTCATCAAGTTGGTGGTCCACGCGGCAGGAAGTGTGGCTGTGCGGATGTCACAGGGCCCTCGCATCAAACGGTGCCGGAGTAAACAATGAGTGGGCCTTCCAGGGGTTTTGGCAGGGAGCGAGATACTGAGATACGTGCTTTTAAAAGGCGACTTTGCTGGCGGAGGGGAGGGTGCTTGGATGGGGGCCGGGGACGGCGCCCTGGTTTGGAGAGACAGAGGGACGGCCCGAGTGGGCTCTGGCAGTAGAAATGGAGGGAAGGGGTGGACCGAGGAGGCGTTTGTCAGGCCAAATCAACCTGCAGGATCCGATGGTTTCACCTGGGTGATTTGGTGGGCGAGGATTTGGGAGGAAAGGGGAGGGGGGGGCACATGCCTGGTGGGGGGACAGTGCGGGGTGAGTTCAGGGATGGATATGTTGAGTGTCAGCATTCGCGGAGCCTCTGTGAGGAGACGGTCTTCGGGCTGGAAATGACTTGGGGGTGGAGCCGGTTAAAACCTTAAAGCGTGGGCGCATCACTCAGGGCAACCAGGAAGGTAAGCAGAGAAGGGGGCTGCCGGCGGATCCCTGGGCGCTTCTGGAAGGACAACCCCTGCGGGGAGCAGAGGCATCACAGACGTGGGGGGCTGTGGGTCAGAGGTCGGGGCTGGGGAGCCGAGGAAGGTGGCGATTTCCAGGAGGGAGTGGCGGGCAGTGCCAAATGCAGTGGACTCACTGCCTTTGATAAACGGTGAAGGGCGGCAAGAACAAAGTCCCACCCACGGCGAAAGGCCAACGTTGTCTCCTCTGCCTTTGCCGCAGCAGCAAGGGGGCTGGCCCCCATCTCGGCGGTCTGGCCGGGACCCAGAGGCAGGCCCGGGAAAGACTTCAGTGGGGAAAAGCGAAGCTGGGGCGCTGTCTCGGGGAAGCTGTGAGCAGACTCGCGCCTGGGTTGCAGGTTCAGTCCCCAGCTGGAGAGCATGAGAGCGACAACCAACCAATCGGTG